CAGTCTGCAGATTTCCCCTTTCTCTAGTTTGCGTGCTACTTCACAACAAAGGCACAGAAAACCCTGTCCTGGGGTATTTACCACAAAAACTCACAGTAAAGTCAGTCCATAATCAATGGTTGCAGCCAAAAATCCCACGTAGATAGATGCTGCTCCACACACTCAGAACAGAACCAGAGAGCTGATGTCATCTTCAAGCACAGCTAGCAGGCAGAGTTCCCCTGGGACTCCCAGGGCAGGGCATTTAACTGCCCTGGAGGACAAGAACTGCTCCTTCCAGCTGTGCCAGAGGGCAGATGCCAAGCCTCGGGTAGCTCAGGGCAGATGGGAGGCACCAGCTTTGTGCCACCTCCGCCCAGCTACCCTGGGGGGACACCAAACATCAACACAGAGCTTCCCTGATGCTTCACCCACGGCTGCTTCCACAGGGGCAAGGGGCTGGGCTCCCTCCCAAACATCAGGGCTTTTACAGAGGAGATGTTTCACTGCTGTGAACTGCCCACAGATTCACCCACAGCCACGGCCTGGAAGTCACACCTTCCCAGGCAGCACTGCCAGTCTGTGCACCCTTCTCTCCAACCAGCCAGGAATGCTTTCTGAATTTATAAATATTCCCTCCCCTCCTCATTATCCCACAGTGCCTTCCTCCCTGCCCCTGTCCTCCACAGCTGGCCACACAACAAGCAGGTAACGTTCCTGCTCTCTCAGAAAACAAACAAGTCACTGACACTGTGCTTTGTGTGGCAACCACACCAAACTTCCCACAGGGACGGCTTCAAAGAGGAACTAAAGGTACGATATCGAGCTGCTGCTGAAGAGCCTTCCTTTGGCTCACAGGGAAAAAGAAAAGAAAGAAAAGTGTAGCAGGAGTTCAGTAAAAGTTTTGAACGAGAGAAAAGCCCTAGATAGCTGTCTTCAGATTCTTCACCAGGGCAAACAGTGCTTCAAGGACAAGTAGGAAAGTAGCAGCTATTTGAGGCAACTTCATTATAAAATCATTTTTAATAAGCAATCTGAACAAAGAGAGGGAGTGCTCTTGCAGAGAAGCCCCCAAGGGATCTTAAGGCTGCCCAGTAAAGTTATTAGGAGGTTACACACAGGGGACCAAACAGCTATTTTATTGGCCTCAGGGGACAGGGTTTAGTTTTCACCTGTTCTCTTTAGGCCTTGCTACTAACAGCAGATCCCGTTAACCATCAGCTTCCTGAAGGCTCCAGCTTTGGGAGGGAAGAGTATCATTTACTTACTTCAGCAGACATAGGAAACACGAGGGAAAGTCAACAGCACAATGCATAATAGGTAAGTAATTATAAATCAGATCAGAAAAAAAATCAGAGTGGTTTTCCCTTTAACACAATTAAGCAAAACACCTAGGAAATGTTGAGAAATCTTTAGCAGTGACTACAAATATAATATGGGAGGAAAGTAAAATCAGAGAAAAAGAGAACCTAGGCCTTGGGCTCCGTTGAGCTGCAAACCTTGATATGGCTGTAGAACTTTGGTGAACACGAGGTCTGGGGTATCTGTACACCTGAGCACTGGAGAGCTGTTCTGCTGCCCCAAAACTGCCTCCTCATCTCTAACGAGGGATGTCCCCTCCTTGGCAACTGCTCAGAGGCAAAAACTTGCCCTTAGCCCAGAGTTCCTGTGCCCTTCCTGAAGAACCTGAGCCAGGACACATCTCTGGACAAACACAACCAAAAATACAGCCAGGAGGGTGTAGGGACAAGTCCCACTTTGGAAGGTGAGACAGGACCTGTCCTCTACCATCTGACAGTCAGGAGCACATCTTCTCTGAAGTGAAGGCTGACCTAACAAACAGCCATGTGAGCCCAAGAGGATAATGCTGCAAACAGACAGAAGGCACCAATTGTAACTTCAAAAGCCTGTTTAACCTTAAACTTTACCTAAGGAAAGAGCTGCATTTTGGGTGGGTAGCATTTATTCCCTCAGTGCTGCTTGGCAGAGCATCAGGCTCCTTGTTCAGAAGTGGCAGGTTCTGTGATGTTTAGGCTGGGACAAAGACAGAATGTGGACAAGCAGCCAATGGAGGAGAATTAGCTGCAGCAGGAAGGATAAAAATCTCTGGGGTTTTACTCAGATGGCTGCACTGTGGAAGAGCTGCTCTTCTTCAGCACTGCACGTGCACAGACACTGAACTGCTGCTGGACTCAGGAGGGGCCTGGGCAGCTCTCCCCAGCACAGCAGCTCCACTCCACTCCGGCTCCACTCCATCTGGCACAGACTGATGCTGAGAAGGGGCTAAAACACACCCCAAAACTCCAGACAACAAACCCAGGAACAACTAAGTAGTGGAGACAGATCACCACCCATTTCAAAACCTGCCAAACTGAAACAGCTGTTAGGTGAAGTCTGAAAGGGATTCATGTTTGAAACTCATCATGTATCAGACTTTCTGGCATCGATATTAAAAAATATTTTTTCTCCACTTCTCCACTCATTTTCTCCACTCCATTTCTTCCTCCCTAATTAAATCAAAAGGTCATCAGAAACAAGTGGCAGTTTACAGTCAGTCAACACCCTCTCATGCCAACATTGTAAATTTGGAATAAGACAACTTCATCCATGTTTCTAAACATCAATGCAGGCATTGCATATACACTGCATAAAGAGTTTGCAAGAATGCTTTTTGAAATTTCTTTGCACAAATCCTACTCTGTGTAACAGTTTGGCTTAGCCAAATATACAGGTACAAGGTGATAGGCAAAGTCTGTACTGTCTTGATACACAAACTCTCTTTCCCAGTCATTTGTAGTTGTTAACAACTCAGATTTTCATTGTAATTTTTGCATTTTGGTGTTTATATAATTTTGTTTTCCTGAATCACTCCAAAACTCTGAATTTTATTTCCTACTTCTTCTATTCAATAATAATAATAATAATAATAATAAAAAAAATCTATGCAACAAGGGAAAAACATGCTTATTGTGCATGATGCTGAAGTGCCAAAGATGCACAATTTACATTAATTCCTGCTCTGTGAGAATTTGTCATAACAGGAGTGAATTCTAAAAGACCCTCAACCAAAACTGAATGAAACCTCATCCATATTTGCCTGCAAACGTAGCTTGCATTTTCATCATGCCAATAACAGCATATTGCCCCTTCTATTTTAATCCCTTCTTAATGGGCAAGCTTATCTTCCCATTATTGAGGCAACTCTGCTGTTCATGCTCCAGCAGTTGCATGACAACTGATTAACAAAGCAGGGAATTACTCCTTGAGAGCTCTCTCAGAACAGTAGAGTTCTCTACACCACACACACTGGCCCCTGATTCCTGCCTGCTCAGGAGGTGTGTGGGGAGCTCCTCACTCAACACAGCCACTGAAAACATCTTCTCACCATGGGCCTGAAACAACTGCAGCTCAGACACAGCCCAGCAACACCCCCAGCCTGGGGTGGTGGGTGAGGAGTTATTTCCTACGCTCCTCAGGGGTGGGATTGCTGTTTGACCCTCCCTGCAGAGGAATCAGCTCTGGGACTGCAGATGGGCTCCTGCAGCGGGTCAGTCCCTGGCACTGCACACAGAACAGGGTGTTTGCAGGTGATGTTCTGCTGGAATGGCACAACCCCCTGCACAGCCAGCGGCCTCCAACAGGACAGGCCCAGGGCTGGGCTGGCACAGCCCCCAAACCGCTCCCCAGCTCCAGAGAGGGGGGCTGCTCCAGGCCAGGGCTGTGCAGGGAGCCTGGCCTGCAGATAACACAGCACTCCAGCCCCCAGGCCCAGCAGCACCAGCTCAAATCTCCCCAAAAACACAAGGAAGGGTCAGACTCCACCCCCAGAGTCCTGCCTGCAGCTCCCACTAAGCTCAGTGGAAACCATACAGGCCTTCAGCCAAGGAGGATCTGACCCCGTGGGACACTTCAGGCAGCAAACCCAGCTAAGCAGAGCAGAACCATCACGATCTAAAAGTCTGAGACATTCCTAGTTTGCTTCGATACTCATACAAATCAAATTTCTCGTTTCAAGGGCTTAAATCAATTTTGTAACTCTGTGCAGTGAGAATTCATAATCTCAAGTCAGATTTTTCATTACATGAATATTATAAAACCAGGAATGAAATAAGAATAAAAGCCATGTAGGGTACTTTACAGCACCACTTTAACCCTGGAAGCTGCAATGAACATACTTCAAATGCATGATCCCCTTAAAATGCATATATATTTGTAAATTTTGTGCAGCCTACCACCTGTTTGGTTAGAGGGCTTTCATGAATTAATAGCCTCAGGTTTGCCTACTCCTGCTGCAGATCCTGGGCAAGTACAGCTCGTGCACTACCAGATTCCCAAACCTCCACAGCATCCAGAGCACCTCAGTGTATCTCCAGCTACAAACAGCAATATTTTCAGGGAATTGTGCTTTTAACTCGCTGCAGGGTAGATGAGAGTTGGTCCCCAGTAATGATGCCTTTGAAGAAGATTTGGAATAAATCTGTAAGTAAATGCCCACATCCACAGACATTTCCAAGGTTGCCACTTACGAGGACTGTTTGTTTATAAGGTTGAGAGCAAAACAATAACCTCCTTGTTTTCATCCAGTTCCTGCAGCACAAGCACAGAATGAGTTACCTTACAGACTAATGCATAGCAATTAGTTCAATAATGTATTTTAGCTTGACCTGTACTGCATATATATCAGACATAAAAACACAACCCTTCTCATCTGTGTTTTCTGGATGTGTTCATTATCAGCTGTAAGGTATGCACAGCAGAGTCAGGAATTCTGCCTTTCCTCACAGCTTTCTTTTCAGCCCTCTGACATAACACACGTGCAAGTATCACACACACACACACACACACACACTGTACATCCAACAGCATTTCAGCTGAGGACTGAAACCACTCTGAGCACAAAACCCACCAGCATTTTTCAAATAGAGCCTTCTCAGACCAGCCCAACTCCTGGTCTGAGCACCACAGCATAGCCCAACAAACTCCATCCCTAAGAGAAGGCCAAATCAAAAGGTGTTACTTACATGTGTGAGTCTTCTTCGTTACAGAAATACCTGTAGGGAAGAAACGACACCAGCGTTAGCAGAGCCACCACTGACTGAATTCTTTTGACATGTACTTCATCACCCATCTATTTTATCAGACACACAGCAGCCACTCTGAGAGAGGAACGAAAATGGCTGTGATTTGGACATTAGAGGTGGAAGGGTCCCCCTCTTTGAGTGCAGACTTTAATGGTGTGTGTTCTCCCTACGCCTCCCCTATAAACGCACCAACACCATCGCTTCAGCAGATACCCATCTGCACCACCTGTGCTGCTGCCCCACAGCTGCAGCTGATGCACCAGGCAGATACCACCAATACCCTGTGGAAGCCCCCCTTTCACTTCCCACACTCCCAGGAACCGGTGCCCATGAAAGCACCCGGACAGAACGGACTGGAGCGGCGTTATTAAGTTCGAACAGTTCTTTGATGGCAAAGCTGTAGCTTGTGCTCATTAGAACCAAATGAAACAGCTCTCTCAACGTGACTACTGCTTGCCATAATTCCAAGGCAGATGCAAATATCTCCAAGCTGTTAAATACATAATTTCTGCAGTAATAAAGATGTTTTTATGCTAGACAGGCATGTGGCAGCAGTCACCAGCGATGGGCCAGCGCCAGTGGAACTGGAGAGGCACTTTAAAGGAAGCAGCAGAGTGAACAGAATGAGGCAAAATTCGTAATACCAAACAGAGATAAAATTAACTCTGTTAAATGTCATTGGAATTCATGCTTGAATACAAACAATATTGTCTCCACTGTGGTAGATAACTGGTGACGTACTCAGACCCCTCAGTGTTTAAGCTTCACTCTCCTTGGGGGGAATTTTGTGAGAAGAGAAAGAGGTTACTGGAAGCAGCACAAGTATTTGAAACATTTCATTTGTGATTAAGGCCTGTAATGAAATTTTAGAGTTGGAATTGTTTGGCTTACTGCTCATGAAAGACAGAGAGACCTGGATCTCCTCTGCTACCCCCTCCAGTTCTTTCAACCACTTCTTCCAAAACAAATTACTACAGAAAAAAAACGGGCTTTTATTTCAGGCCTCTTGGTTGTGGAACATCTCGGGGAGGCAGTAAGTTCTAACAACCAATAAAAATGTAGATACCTCATTGGCAAATTTAGAGCTAACTTCCAAAGCCACCAGTTTTCAAACTGTTAATGTTTGTGATAGACCCAGAAACCCCTAATGCCAACCCCAAACATGGAGCCAGCAAGTCTGACATAAATGCCACGAGGATTTTTTTTAAACATTGCACTTGTGTGGCTGTTGGCCTTTTGGTTTGGAACTACCAGGCTCTACAAGAGTGAGCACTGGAACCTTTCTTTTCCAGGGAAAAGAAAAGCTGGGAGGCTCCAGGCTTTGGGAAGAGAAGTTCTGAGAGTTCCTCTGGGCAATTTTGTAAATGTGAGACACTGGTAAGCAAGTTACAAAAATCAGCATACTAGAACTCGATTATGTATATGAATTAATTTAAATTGAAAGGTCCTGGCCAAACGTGCACATGCCTCATGCAAGGGATTAAAATTACAGTCACAAAGTGCAGAGCCAAGGTAAGCACTAAGAACAAAAGAAAAACAAGCATAACAGAAATAAAACCTTTCAGTTATACAAGCAGCTACTACAGGGGGCAAATTCATCCTTTAAATTGATAATCTGTAAGAGCAAGCTTTCCTGGCTTTTCATTGCAGGCCAGTCAGTCCTGGCTGGCTCAGAGCAGGGCACAGGACAGGACAGGACAGGACAGGACAGGGGGTGTCACCAGGAGCTGAGCACTGTTACACAGCAAGAGCCCAGGCAAGGAGAGGCCACAGAGACCTGAAATCCCAGCATCAAAACACACCAACAGCACCTGTGCACCTCTGGCAGGAGTGCAGAAACCTCCCTGTAGGTTTTCCTGAAGGTCTGCCTCAGCCTCTGGATTTGAAATGGAGGCTGCTGCTGGAATACTGGCTCTGCCTCCAAGGAGGAGCATTTGTGCTGCTCTTGGACTCCTCCAGTGACCACTGAACAGCACGCCCAGCTCTGACAGCCCCTCATCCCCACACTGCCCTAACACCCCCTGGCACACACACTGCCCCACCCCTGCCTACCTGGCCAAGTCCTACAGTTTTAAGGAGGTTTTATGGAATGGAAATGCAGAGAGAAAGGTCTTAAATCTGAACACCATTTTGCAAAACTTCCTGTCCCCAGTGCTCGTGAGTGGCTCCAGCAGTGCTCCTTCGGCGCTGTGGGAGCCATATGTGTGCGCTTCTCGCCGCAAATAATGCTCTCTGGAAAATCACTTTGAACAGAAAGTGCTTATGCTGTCACTTCTGATTACTCACAGCCCCTTCACAATGGGATTTGCCACAGCACCAAACAGACTTAGCTGTATTCGCTGACTGAGGGCCTGCTTCCCCTGCCACATGAAACACTGATGGAAATATTACTGCTTATATTTTTCTGCCTGATTTTTTTCTCCCCGGTGCCAGACGTGTGGCAGGTTTTTCCAATCAGATGTTTCCACAATAATTACTGATCGCTATCTCCTAAAGGCCTTTGAGCTGGTTTATGCAGATATTTTTAGATAACCTTTCAAAACAGCAGCTTAGAGGTGGGTATTTCTGCATCTTTCTTCATCATTCCACCGGTGGTTGCACTGAAAGCAGAGCATTTTGCTTTGAGCTGTGGTTTTAAAGTAACTAAACTGCAATCCGGTGCAACAAGGATAAATGTTGCCAGTGGGTTCAACAGGATTAGGTTTAAATTAATCAGGAACCTTCACTGATGTTAAAGCGAGTTATGAATTTTTTAAGAAGCCTTCCCTTTCACACAGGTGACTCTTAGTGAGTAGAGAAACTGAGCAAAAAATGCACCAGCATATTACTTGAATTAGATACATCATAAGGAGTGCTTTAAATGTAAATATTGAGGATGCAACACTGCCATCAGCTTTAGTTTTTAAGGCAGGAAGCCAATGGCTCTGCTATTCAGAACATTCGAGGTAGATAATAATATCCTAGAAATGGGTGTATTGTGGAAAAAAAGAGTCAGTCTGAAAACCACTTAATGTAAAAAAAAGGGGAGTTACAAGATCTCTGGCTCTCTCTGAGCCAGGGCTACATCCCACTCGTGTATACATTGGGATGCCTTTCCTGTGAGCTGTATCCAGAAAGTTTTATGCAGACAACTCATCAGTTCTTCTGAAACCAAGAGGATCTCCTGTGAAACTCATTCTGCAAGTCCAACATACCCCAGTAATTCTCTTCACAACTGGGACTGCTCTGGTCTGTAAATATTTCTGGGACTGGACCATCAGTTTAAGTAGATTTGAGTAGACACTATTTAATGAAACCTAAACCCAAAACACACCACTGAAAGACAAAGGTTTATTTTTAATAAGTAGAGCCCAAAGAACCTACTGATTCCTTTCAAAACGTTACTTCATATAAAATCCCATTTTTTAATGGGTTTCATCTCCAAATGGGATGGGCTGGAGAAATATGTGACCACTCGCCACTATTAGCACTGTCCTGCCCAGCCAGCTTTCCCTTCTCCTTTCACAACAAACACAAAATAAAAAGCATAAAGAGAGGAAGAAAACAACACTGTAACTTCAGTGTTGCTAATACAGAAAGACTTCCTGACTTAACCAGCCAGACTTCAAAGTAAAGCAAAGGAAATGTCATGAAAATACCACAATCTATCAGTGCCATGGTTATCAGCGAGTGAAAGTTTCAGTATTACACTTATCACAGAATGTATCACTTGCGCAGCGCCGTTTGACATTCCTGATCAGCGCCAAATCTCAAACAAATTAACATCTCACACACTTCTCATCCTCGCCATTGCCGTGCAACGCTCTCGGCAGCCACAATCGATTTCTTCAGAATGAAAGGACCTGATCCACCCATTCCCCTTCCCCCCCTCCCACCACCAGTCAGTAATTTGCCATGATGGGTGGTATTTACAAAAATAGCCTGCTGGATGCAATGAACTTTGAAAAGAGTATCCACCAACAGAGACAGGATATTCTTTCGCAAGCAGTTAGCCTGACTGACCTTCACTAGCCCACTTCAAATGGAGATAACAATGTCTTCAAGTACAAAAAGAGACTCAGATATTTTATACATCATAAGCTCTTTCTCACAGTTGCCCATCCAAATAAAGCAGCATAATGAAACACTGCTTACTCTGTGAACCCAGATCCCTGCTGCTGTTGTACAGTTGTCAACTTCCCACATTTCAAGGGGAAAACACACTTTGATGTGCAGCAAGATAAGTAAAAAGTCCCCTGTCTGGCAGAATACATTACTCTGCAAAATATCAAAGGAGGATATTCCTGAGTGCAATTTTCTTAAAGCTCCAAGAAAACTCCTCCTCAGAAGTTTGGGAGGACAAACACACGGCATCCCTGGCAGAGCTCAGAACTGATCTCTGGGACCTCTGAGAAGCACCAGTGCTTCCCTTTGCTGTGCTTTCTGTGCCCAGATCAGGTGATTAGCAGTGCCCTGACAGCTGTAAATTTTGTAGATGCCCTATGTATACGATGCTTTGCTGATGTGGGTGTGTGTATCAATATATGTATTTTTTTTCCCCACTTTTCTCTCCCCTCCCCTCAAGCCAGCATTATGTCTCCAGCCTGTTTTGGAACATGCACATTTTAGGATGGATTGAAAATCTTGAGGAAAAAAAAAAGAGGAGGAGTTAAAATTTTAAACTCCTGCCTGACATATTGTGTAAAATCAGAAAGAAAACATATTACAAGCTTGGATCCCACTGTGTTTCATCCTGTCACTCCACTCCCACACAGAGGTAGCAATTGTGGTGGGATATCACATGCGACGCTCGGGCACTTGCAGAGAAACCACCAAGGCAGAATAACAGACTGGAGAGGATTCAGAAAGGAGCTCATCCTTCCAGAAAGCTCAGTAATGGTTTCTGTTAAAGCCTGTGCAGATCTCTGGTTGGAGGAGCTCTGGGGTCTCGGTGGGCCATTGTTTAGGGTGAGCAAGGGGAACTAACACAG